TTTTTTTTTGCAATCACCCATACATACTGCTGAGCAGATGCCTCCTAGAGTTTGATTCTGCAGGCCTAGTGCCCTTGAAAATAGCCCTGTTGTGGTTGTGCAAGTATCCTTGTGTTGTCGGGATCCCACACTTGACTATAGCTGCTGTTAGTTTTTGAAACGTGGACATGTGGCTCCCTGGAATGCAGTCACCAGATACCACTCTGGCTCTTAGATAGCGTGAGCCGGAGCCCCTGGGGCGTGGAAGGGCTAGGGAGACCAGGCAGCTGTGTGGCCATTTAACCAAGGTTGCCTTCCCTCCCCAACAGAGGTGGATGAGTGCTTCTGGCCAGACCATGGGGGATGTGAGCAGCGCTGTGTGAACACACTCGGCAGCTACAAGTGTGCCTGTGACCCCGGCTATGAGCTGGCTGCGGACAAGAAGACCTGTGAAGGTTGGTGCTGGACCTACCGAGGTGGCGTGACAGGGTGTGCAGGAGTGGGGCAGAGATGGGCCAGCCGTGGACAGAAGTGGTAGAAAATGCCCTAGCTCTTGGAGAGAGAGAGAGAGAGAGAGACAAGTTGATTACAGTCACGAATGGGAGCAAGTCACCAAAACTGCACACACTCACCCTAGAAACTGAAACTGGGACACAGTTCATCTTCTTCCATGACCACGTAAAACTCACAATGACTTTTAAGGTAGGAAATAAAAGCACAGAAGATCCGTGAGCACTTTGACGTGTCTCTGCTGACTGCTCGTTTTGCCTGTCCCTTTTCCCTCTCTCCTGTGTCCCTCACCCACCTGCATGAACCCACTTGCTCACACAGGCCAGGTCCCGTGATACATCAAATGTGTCGCTGTCATTTTAAAAAGCAATAAAGATTTGTCTCCAACTTTGTCCTCCCAGAATCTCAGTTGAGACAATTAGGCTAGAAAATGGGACACTGAATGAATCGATTTGGATTGTCTAAATTTTTTTCATTATGAAACAACAGCAGGGCTTATTGCTGCTTGGGGGGAAAATGCAGTCGCTTGGAACTAAAACCAAATGAATCTTGTTTCTGTTTCTTCCATGCAGTGGCCTGTGGCGGTTTCATTACCAAGCTGAATGGAACCATCACCAGCCCTGGGTGGCCGAAGGAGTATCCCACGAACAAGAACTGTGTCTGGCAGGTGGCAGCCCCCACCCAGTACCGCATCTCCCTGCAGTTTGAAGTGTTTGAACTGGAAGGCAATGATGTACGTCTGCGCCCTGATCGATAGGGGTTGTGTTGAGAAGTGACTCCGAGCTGGGGGCCAGGGAGGGAGGGGGTTAGCTTGGAACTGCCCCTTCCAGAGAGTCACAGGACCTTAGCCCGGGGGAATCTGGGGGAGCGTTTTATCCAGCCGCTTCAGCTTTGTGCCTTCTGCAGGTGGAGCACCTCAGCCCCTCTTGCCATTGATAAATCCAAAGAGAACTGGGACAAGAATGAGAGTGGTGGTACGTGCCTATCTGTAATCCCAGCACTCAGGAGGCTGAGGCAGAAGGATTTCCATTGAGTTCAAGGCCAACTTTGGCTACATAGTGAGTTCAAGGCCACCCTGAACTATATAGCTAAACCTTGTCTCAAAAAACCCCAAAGAAAAAGAAAAGAATGAGGGGGCCAGGTGGCGGGTGGAGACAGGATAGGTCCAAACCCTGGAGTGTAAATCTTGGGGTTAGTGTCCAGTGGAGGAGAATGAAGGAGCTAGGGACTAGACAGAGAGTAGGGTGCTAAAGACAGTCTGCTCCTGTCTTGGGAGTGGTCATGGGTCATCAAGTCAGAGAGGCCGAGGTAGCACCCTCTAGCCAGACCTCTAGACACAAGTGCCCCCTGCGACTGGAGGACCCCTCTTAAGATAGATCAGCACCTCTTCATGCTTCCTTCTCCACCCCAGCTGCAAAGAGGTTCTCACCTTAAAAACAGCACTAGCCTGGGTCTCTCCTGGCCATCCAGCTTCCGGGCACTTAGAAGAAACGCTGTCATCCGTGGCCCTGCTGCGCGGTGACTCCAGAGCCAGTGAGGGGCTTGCCCCAAACTGAACACTGCATGGAAACCCCGAGAGGAACTGAGTACACCGTTTAGCAGCCACATTCTTTCTGAGAGAGCTACAGTGGGCAGTTTGGATGCTAGTCCTGGCTCTACCGTGTCTGAGCTGTGAATGGATTTCTCTTTCTGAGCTTTAGTTTCTCTGCATGAGGGTATCATGGAGTTGGGTTATGAAGTGGTTTATAAACGTGTTCTCCCTCCTTTCCTTCCTCCCTTGCTGCTCTCTCTTCCTCCTCTTCTTGTTCTTCTAGCAGTGCGGGCCCTTTCTTTAAGGAAAATACCGTGGAAAGTGAGGAGAAGCTTACAAGTGAGGGGAGCACAGGCTTTGGAGCTCCAGCCTCTCGTGCCAGGCAGTGGCACACGCTTAGGCTCTCCACAGTGTACCTAGTGACCGGCGCAGTGAGAGCCGAGGGGACCCTTCTCTGCTCCCCTCCACAGCTCAGGGTAGTGTGCAGCTCTCAGAAGGGGCTCTGGGATGACAATGTGCTCCCTACCTCGTTCCCTCGCAGGTGTGTAAGTATGACTTTGTGGAGGTGCGCAGTGGCCTGTCCCCCGATGCCAGGTTGCATGGCAAATTCTGTGGTTCTGAGACGCCTGAGGTCATCACCTCACAGAGCAATAACATGCGTGTGGAGTTCAAATCTGACAACACTGTCTCCAAACGTGGCTTCCGGGCCCACTTCTTCTCAGGTACGTGGTTTTATGGGCCCCAAAGCTGGTAGTGAGCTGGCCTCACAGGCTTCCAGTTTCTGGGATCCCTTCTCTCCTGCTCCCTCCTGGTACATCTGCCTTGGCAGTGATATGCTTGGAACAAGGTTTTTAAAAAATTTTTTACTGATGGCTGCATTAATTTCCTAGAACTGACATAATAAATCACCACATGCTGGGTAGCTTAAAACAACAGAATTTTATTTTCTTATAGTTCTGGGACTAGAAGTGTGAAATCAAGGGATGGAGGTCCAGGCTCCCTCTGAATGCTCGAGGGAAGAGCCCTTCCTTACCTCTTCCCAGCGCTGGTGACTCTGAGGAAGCCTTGGCATTTCTTGGTTTCTGGTTGCCTCACTGCCTTCCTCTTCACATGGCTTTCTCCTCTGTGTCCTCTCCTTTTATAAGAATTACAGTCACTGGAATCAAGGCTGACTGTAAATCGAGGATGATAACTCTTTTGGCAAAGACCTTATTTCAAAATAAAGGGTTGATATTCTGAGGTTACAGGTGAATGTCAGTTTTGGGGAACAGTATTCAACCCTTTCCCTACAGTGGCACATTGGACCCTCGTTCCCAAATTGAAGGCCATGAGCCATTAGGACCAGCTGGTAGCTATAGAAAAAAGCCCATTTTCCAGGAAACAGCATTTGAGGCTGGACACTGCTCCTGCCCACTGTCCTGCTAGCCGTGTATCCTCTGCCAGGTACCTCACACTCCAAATACCAATAATCCCTCCCCTGCCTTCTTGTACCATCTCTACACACTCACTAAACACACATCCCGGGGTGGCCCCTCTCCCTGGGACATCCTTCCTTTCTCCCTCACAAAACCCCCACTTAGATGTGGAGACCCGATGTGTCATTTTCTGTAGCTTTGACCCCTTTCAGTACATTAATTGTTCTTTTACCAGAATTTCTGCGACACTGCCACCTCCTTTCCGTTAGGGCTCTTATTTTCGGGGGCTGGTACCTGTGCGGTCATACAGGGCCACACACAAAAAGATTGAGTATGGGTGTCAGGTTGGATGACGGCTTTGGTATTGTCATCTTGAAACTCATGATAGTTTGTGGACAAGGGCCCCCCGTGTTCATCTTGCACTGGGCTCTACCAATCACATAGCTTGTTTATCATACTGGAGTGTGAACAATTTAAGAGCAGGACCTGTAGTTTGATTATTTTTATATTTTCAGCGTTTAACATGGAAGCAAGCCAATTACTTGTTGCTAGGTAATTGGAATTCTGTCTCTGTGATTGTTTTTGAGTGTCTCCTTTTGAGAAGGTTGTGCTTTATTTTGAGGGTCTGCTGTGGACCCAGCACAGTGCTAGGCTCAGGGAGGTTGCCAGGAATGTGCCCCAGAGCTAGATAAGCTTATATTCTGGCTAGTGAGGCCAGGAGATTCACCCTGAAAAGTGCCAGCCTGGGGCATAGTGGGGTAGGCCAGTGTGACCAGGGTTGAATTTGGAGAAGAGGGACGCTCCTGGTTGCCTGGAACAGGGGGAAAAGTTTTTTTTAATTTTTTATTCAGGTTGCATGATGGTCTGGGCCATTCCTAAGGGATGGGAGGGGCTGAGGTAGAAATAGGGTGACTAAGAAGATGGTACTCAAGGTTCCACGAAGAAGAGAGAGTGTGGCTTGAGCTCAGCATCTTAACCAAGCACAGAGACTGAGTTCAGACCGGATGGAAAGCCAAGGGCATCAAGTGAGCCCAGTTGGGTGAAACTGTGTCACCAACAGCTTTAATGCTTGCTAAAGAGTGAGGGCTGGATGGAACAAGGAATGGGTCCTTCTGTAGGTTCCTGGGTAGGGGTGCCTTAAAAAACACCAACTGACCAAACCATGCAAGTCAGTATGGAGGTGGGAGGGCCAGAGGGGCAGGATAGGTTAGGGGCCACTTGGGAGGAGGGAATGTAAGGCCTCAGAGTTCCATGCTTGCACACATCCTCCAAGGACAGAGGAGCTGGGTCCAAGTAAGTGAAGACCTGCCCATCTTCTGTAGAAGCGTGCAGGGAGGAGAGGAGTAGCTTCTATTATGGAGTGTTGGATATTCTGCATTCTAGGAGTTGTCTCCATGAAATAAGAGGGTGCGGCGAACGTGTCGAATGTTCAGACATTAACCACCACGGATGAGAGTAGAGAGAGGGAGGGCAACATGACTGAGCCCTGAAATCACTTGGTGTGTGTGTGTGTGAGGGGGTCCTTTCGTTGGGGAGGAGAGGGAGACCAATCCTTGGTTACTGCAGGAAGAAGTGGGCTTAGGAGAGGGCCACACTGCCACTTTGGCTAGAGCCCAGGAACCACAGGGTAACAGAAGCCAGTGCTGGAGCTCACACATGGTCATAATCATAAAAGCCACCACTGCTTGTGGGCTCATACTGCCCCAAGTGCTTTCCCTATTCCAGTGCGTTTCCCCCTCCAACAACCTCTGAGGTAAAGACACCATTAGTGGCTCCATTTTACCTGTGAGGCACCTGAGGCACAGAGGTAGGTGCTGCCTGAGGTCATCACATGCCGAAGTGATGGGCAGGGAGGCTCTTAGCTCCTGGACCAATGTTCACACATTTACCTGTTCACATGCAGCAGGCCGTCAGCGGTCTGGGGTGTGAGCTCAGACCTCCATGCCGGTCACACAGGCCACTTGCTGAGTGACTCTGAGCACATTAGCTGTCTCCACTTCAGTTTCTTTACCTGGAGGATGGGTATAGATTAAATGAGAGGATGAACGCAAAATATTTTCCTAAAGTTCAGAGTTAACTTGGGTAACGTACCCGTTCCATAGTAAACACCTGGCCGTCATTTGTATAATTGTTGCTATCGCTATTAATGTTAGCCTGTCCATCAGGGTGTGCCTTGGTTTTGGCAGAGAGAGGAGCAGAGAACATACTGTACATTAAAGTGCTTTAGGGGCGTGGAGAACCCAATACGTGCCAAGTAAGACCCAAACAAACCTGCCGCAGGAAGGGCATCGGGCGGTCAGGGAGGCTCCCTGCAGGAGACTGCCTTTTGGGTTTCCGAGCCATGGGGGACAGTCCCACGTTAGCAGGCCCTCAGGGGAGCCCCTTGATCTCCCCAGACAAGGACGAATGCGCCAAGGACAATGGCGGCTGCCAGCACGAGTGTGTCAACACGTTCGGAAGCTACCTGTGCCAGTGCCTGAATGGCTACCGGCTCCATGACAATGCGCATGACTGCAAGGAGGGTGAGTGGGACCCACGGGGCCTTGGAGTGGTGCATGAGAGGGCGTGGGCCGTGGGTGGCAGTAGGCTGGAAAGCCTCTCACGCCTGTGGAGTGCAGAGCCCTGAGCTCAGCCCAACATCTGCCTTTCTCTGGTAAGTGCTTGTGGCCTTCTTGGTGGACTGTCTCCTGGGCAGCTTGGGCTTTCAGAAGGCCCGTGGGGCCTCAGATACTACAAGTTAAGTGATTTTTTCAGAGTGGTTAAGTCTGTGGGCTCCCGATTCAGACTAACTGGGCCTGAATCCTGGCTTTGCCACTCATTAGCTGTTACTTAACTTGGAGCAAGTTATATAACTTCTCTGAGCCCTGTTTCTTCTATTAAAAGTGGGCTAACCGTAACATCCTCTTAAAGTTTTTGTAGGGGTTAAGAAAAAATGCTTAAGAAATATTTCAGACAGTCTGATACATATTACTCCGATGTCAGGAAATACCAGCCCCTGACCACCTATGTAATAATGTCATTTACCATATGAAGGCCTAGTAGTGAAGTGGGAGAGGAAAAAACCTATCCTGGAGTCTTTATATCTGCTCTGTGCTCCATTCAGTGCTAGGAGTTAGATAGCTTTGAATGTCCCGTCACTCTGGGAAACGCCTTCCCTTTGCTCTTACCCTGCGCAGTGAAGGAAGTTTGTGTATTTGTGATAAACACAGGTCTCCAGGACTTGGCCCTGCCAGGAGCCCCACAAAGGAAGTTGAGGGTGAGGGGAGCTGTGAAGACCATTGGCCTCTTCTGTTTTCTTCTTTACAAATGAAATGAGAAAGATTAAAGGAGAGGATGCATGCAAAACACTTACCACAGTGCTCTAACAGAGGAAGACAAATTCTAGATACTGGTCAGAAATGCTAGGTATAAGGCCAGGCATTGTGACACATGCCTGTAACTCCAGCCCTCAAGAGGCTGAGGCAGGAGGATTGCCATGAGTTTGAGGCTAGCTTGGGCCCCATAGTGAGTTTAAAGCCATCCCAAACTACATAGTGAGACCCTGTCTCAAAAAAAAAAAAAAAAAAAATCCTAGGTATTGAGCTAGCCCCGGACCATACTTTACAAATAGCACTGTAATTAGGATGAAACAGGTAGTCTCCGAAAGATACTGCTTTGAAAAACTGAAAGGCAGAGATAGACAAAAGGCATAATGTTAAAGGAGATCTGTTAGCACTTCCCACGGGCTGGCTCTCGCTGAGCCCTTCACGTATATCGTCTCTAATCCAAATGCATGAGGTATCCATCTTACAAATAAGGACCTGAGTTCCCAGATCCTCAAAGTATCTCACACACTGTAGATGGTAAAACCAGGACTTGTAACCTACTACTGATTCTACCACATTTGCACCGGTAATCACGATGTGAATAGTTATAGCAGGAAAGGTAACCTGGCTCTTGAGCCACAGCTGGGAAGGCAGTACAGCCAGTTCAAACAAATCAGCCCGTCTCGGCTCCAGGGGTCACTTCATTCAGCCTGGCTAATCCCATGTTGGTTATCCCTGAAACAAGTAAGGGAGAAGGGAAGAGACTCCCCTGGAATTAATGCCTCTGGAGTCACCAATGAATGACTTCTCTCTCTGTTTGTCTCCCTCCACCACCCCAGCTGGCTGTGTGCACAAGATCAACAGTGCAGAGGGAACCCTGGTGAGCCCCAACTGGCCTGACAAGTACCCAAGCCGGAGGGAGTGTACCTGGAACATCTCTTCGACAGCAGGCCACAGGGTGAAACTCGTGAGTCATTGCAGTAGTTTGCTGAGAACATGGACTTTGGTGTCAGGAAAACAGGAGTTGGCGTCTCTGTCCTGCCGCTCCCCAGCTCTGAAATTTGGGGGAATTACTCCACATTTCTGGGTCTCAGTTTCACTCTTCAGAAAATGGGAATGTTAATGAAGCCTGCTTTACAGGACTGCTGGGTAGAGTTGTACCACCACCATCTGCTCACAGTGGTACCAGCATGAGACGGCACCCAGCACACAGATCAGCAGTGTTGTTTGAGATTCGATTGTTTCCAGCTTTTATTTTTTACAAAACTACATTCTCAAGGTAAAAAAAAAAAAAAAAAAATGTAATGAGTACAGACAGTTGAATGGGAAAAATCAAAATTCCCCAGGTCTGCCATTCCTACTATAGCAATGATCACTCATTTTCAACATTTTCTTACCAATTCCCTCCAGGAATTTCCTAAGCACCAACAGTGCATGCACATGCATGGAGAAGCATGGGTCTTTTTTCTTACTCCAACTCCACAAATGAAATATTATTCATATTCTTCTACAACTTACATATTTTTTCAATTAACAATAGGAACATTATGCTAATTCCCGAATTAAAGACTAACAACCACCTTACAAGTCTTTATTTAAAGTTCTATCCATGTGTCTGTACACCAAGCTTAGTTATTTCAAAGGAGAAATGAATCTCTCCTGTGAGTCTCATTTCTCGGTCCTCAGGGACTCCCATATCCTGGAGTCTTTATATAAAGCAAATCCCTTGACAGCCAAAGAATTGGTTTTACTCTTGACAAACTTTTTTTTTTTGGTACCGGGGATCGAACTTGGGTCCTTACACTTGGAAAGCAGGCACTGAAACCACTGAGCTAAATCCCCGGCCCTTGACAAACATTTTTTAATGAGTCACTTTGCTGTGGAGATGAGTGATTGGCCCTTTGGAATGATGGACTAGTAATTCAGGGAGAATGGAAGGGAACAAAAACAGATGTAACCAGTAGCAAATGGTGCAGGGACATGAGAATTTACTGTGGAGAGCTATTGTGTGAGGTAGGTGAGTGGGCTCCTAGCGCACATGAAGAAGGGCAGAAGTGTCCGTGACTCCAGAGCGTGCTCAGTGGGCTTCTCCAGCCTTGAGCCGCCTTTGTGGGAGTGGCTTTCTTCTGCTGTGCACCCAGGAGCTGCTGCCCTGGGTTGGTAACAAGCAGCCTCGAATCTGGGGCAAGTGAAGTGAGGGCACTGGAGGAAGACAGACTGCCATCTTCTGGAAAATGATCACAATGCTATTATCTGTGATGACTGAGGGAATGGCGACCCCTTGGGATAGAATCACAAACAGGCACATCAGGAATCCTTTATTGGGGGCCCCTGCATGTGTGTGTTAGTTTTAAAGATGCTTCCTTGGGAAACATGGTGGCGGGTGTATCAGTTTTGCTCTGTGTTTTGTACTACAGAATGTGAGTGGTGTTTCATGGTGTGAGGCCCACCGCAGGGTGTCCGGTGGACTCAGGGAGCTCCTCACTTCCCTGGCCTGACTCTCCTTCCTCCCACTGCATGTGCCGTAGTGTGCCCCTGCTCTCCTTTCCTGCTCGTGCCTGATGTTTCTGTCCACCACTCCCTTTCTTCTAAGCTGTGAGAGCTCTGTCCCTTTCTGGTGCTTGTCGTTCTTGTGAAATGATAGGGATCCCTCTGTTTCTGCCTTCCTACCTCAATTTCTGCCCTGTCACTCCGGCCCTCTCTTTTGAATTTAGACCTCCCCACACAAATGTCCTTTCTCTTTTGGTTCAAGTGCAAGTTTTAATACTCTCTACTTACCTTGTCACGTCTCCTTAATGCCACACGGATCATTTGTCCATCAACCCAGCAGCAGAGAAGCCTGCATCAAGGCTGAAAATATTGAGTATGGCCTGGAATGGGGGTGGGCTCTGCTGGTAGCTTCAGAGGACAGCTTTTGGAGAGGGTAGGGAAGAGAAAGATGACAAGCTGCTAATGGTTAAGAGTGTGTGATGGAAGCCAGGTATAGTAGTACATACCTGTAATCCCAACGTTCTGGGAGGCTGAGGCAGGAGAATTGTGAGTTTGAGACCCTTTCTCAAAATTAAAAAAATGTGGGGGGAGAATTTAGCTCAGTGGTTGCACCACCTGCCTTGGTGGCAATTCTTGGTACCAAACAGCAACAAAATGAAAAAAAAAAAAAAAAAAAAAAAAAAG